CCCCCTTCCCCTCAGGCCCCGCCGAGCTGCGGCGGCCGCCGCGCGCCAAAACCTCTCGCGCGAGGGAGGGGGGGTTAAGGGATCCCGCGCGCGCCGGCGCCGCGCTCTCCCCCTCCGCCCTCTTCCGGGGGGCGGAGCCGCAGGCGGGCTCCCCCTCAGCCCTCCTCCTCCCCCCCTCCCCCCCCCCAAGATGGAGGGCTGGCGAGGAGGTGAGGGAGCCGCGGTGACCGGCGATGGGGCCGCCAGGCTCGGGCTTTCCCCTTCCCTTCGGGGGGGGGAAGGAGGGCGCGGGGAGGCCGCCCGACCTCTCTCGGGGCTCCCACTCCCCCGACTCCGCTCGTTACCGACCCCTCCTTCTCCCTCAGCCCACCCGCCGCAGGGCCGGGGACCCGCTTCCTCGGGGGGGGGGGCTCCGCCCGCTGCCCGGCGGGAGGGCGCCTGAGGTAAATATGGAGGGGGGGGGCTCGGAGGGGCGTCGGCCGCCCCCTCCCCGCCTTCCCTCAACTTGTAGCGGTGCGGCCCGGAGGAGAAATGCCCCCGTGGGCCGCCCGTTTCCCGGCCGGGGCGGCGGGGGGGTACCCTGGGTGCTGAGGCGGGTGGCCCGGAGGCGGGGGGGAGGCTCTAACCTTCACACCCCCTCCCCTTTCCCCACCTCGGCGGTGCGTGTCCCCCCCCGTCCCCCTCGCCCCGGGCTGTGGGAGGCTCCGGCCGTGCCGCTCCGCGTCCCTTTAAACCCGCCGGAGCTGCCAAGGCACCCGCGATCCTTCTGGAAAAGCCCTGTGGATCTTTTCTTTTCCCTCGGCCAGTCGCCATGGTTGCATGGCGAGTGCTTCGTTCTGCTTGGCGACCTGCAGATATTTGGCGGTCTTGCTGAATAAGGGAGGTTTCCTCATCGCCGTAGCGGAGTGATGAATGAGATGCTTTAATTTGTAGGAATATTATCCCCTTCTTAGCGCAGCTTTCACCTCTGGAAGTCTCTGCCGTCCGAAAATGTTTGTTGTTCTTTATAAATGTACGTACTGTGCAGAATAAAAGTGCAGGGAGGGGATTGTTGACGTGTTTCACTTTACCTGTTAGGGAAGGGTTGAGTTTGTGAGTTGTACAAGAGACTCGCAAACTGTTACAAATGATAATGTGGGGACTCTGGGATAAGGCGTAATGGTTTCAATTCAGCCGAGACATTAAATAGGATTCTTTACCAATTTTCTTATTGTAGCTTGGTATGTGCCATGTCTAGCTTCACTTGAGACCCTCCAAGAATTATGTAGGAAGGAAAATCTCAGATGTAAATCCATTGGAATCACCAACAGGAGTCTAAAGAGTTATGAGGTGGAGTATTTGTGTGACTACAAGGTAGAAGAGGTAAGAGAAACACAGACCGATTTGATCGCTCTTTCAGCTGAAATTTGGAAGCGAGCCAAAGGTAGTTTTGCTTACGATGTAAGGTAGCGGGGCTGCGAGGACGAAGCTCTTGCCGACATCGAATGAAATACCTTTTACGCTTTGAACTGTAAGCTGGAAGTGGTATAACTACTGCTTTTGGTATGTTGAAGGAAGGGCTTTTTCTGAAATTACAGAGATGCCAGAATACGAAATGTTCTCGCCTTTGCCTATCTAGAAGTAAAGCAAAATGCTGATGCTTTTAGGCTGTGGCTTGTTATATATAACGACGCTTCTCCTTTATTCTCAGGCAGCAGCCTGTATTTCTCTCTTGACTGTTGCCGTAGTCTGTATGATGAAGAGTTAGGGCCATGTGCTGCAACTGGATTCCTACGGCTCGATTGTGCCGGTGAAATTCAGTCTCAGGATGTGGCCTTGTTACAGTTATTTGGCCTTCTTAAAATAAGTATAAAATCTATACTTCTTGATTATAAATACAGTATTTTGTATTTTGAGTCGATTAGAGTTTTGAGTGGATTACTCTTCTGCGAGGACAGTTGATACAACAAATAGTGGTTTTTAGAGTTTTTTTGTCAGTTTAGAATTTTTTTTTGTTTGTATGTGATACAACTAGTTAGTATAATTTACTTAACAGCCTTAACAAGCTAGCCTCCTCTAGGTATAACAGTAGCAGAGTTCATCCCTATTTATTTCTTTGCCCCTAGAAATGATGTGTAAAGTATCCAAAGTTGTGCTGTAACTTAATTTGCAAGCAGAAAACTTGATTGTTCTCTTTCTCCCCAACTTTAATTGTTGTGGGGACATCAAAACCTTTTGCTCTATATGCTGTTGCTTAATTCCAGAGTTCTTTCGTGTTTGTCTGTGTACTCTGTCGTGCTGGATTTCAGCAAAATGAAATGTGGCTAAATCTGTATCTGTTTCTGTATTTCAAGGGCACGCCATACTATCTTGTGAAATGGAAAGGATGGCCCGAATCTTCAAATACTTGGGAACCTGAGGACAATCTGAACTGCCCACTGATTCTTCAGAACTTTCTTAGTGACAAGAACGAATACTTGTCTCGGATGAGAGAAGGCAAAGCACTGAAAGTGAGAAACCACGTTAAAGCTTTGCAGCCTGCGGTTGCCGACTACATTGTAAAGAAAGCCAAGCAAAGAATAGCTCTGCAGAGATGGAAAGAAGAACTCAACAGGAAAAAGAACCATAAAGCGATGATTCTGGTAGAAAACACTGTGGATCTCGAAGGCCCTCCCTTAGACTTCTACTACATTAATGAATATAAACCTGCTCCGGGGATAAATGTAATAAATGGAATAACGACTGGCTGTGAGTGCACTGACTGCCCTGCTGAGAAGTGCTGCCCGAAGGAGGCTGGGTTTATTTTGGCTTACAATAAACGAAAAAAGTTGAAAATCCAGCCCGGTTTGCCCATCTACGAATGCAATTCGTTTTGTAGGTGTGGGCCTGACTGCCCTAATAGGATAGTACAGAAGGGTACACCCTATACCCTTTGCATCTTCCGAACCAACAACGGCCGTGGTTGGGGAGTGAAAACCCTCCAGAAAATTAATACCAACAGTTTTGTGATGGAGTACGTTGGAGAGGTATGTATTTATCTCATATAGATAAACTCTTTATAATAAAGGAGATACTGGAGATAGATCTTGAGCTTTCTCTCAGTTTTACCATTTATTAACTTCGACTTTATAATAGATAAGTCTGCTTTTGAGTACTGAAATACACCAAAGAAACATTTGAGATCACAGTAAAATTATATTGTTCAGAGTGTTCCTACATTCCAGAGCAATTGTGAAAGGTTGAATGTAAAGAGAATAGTTATCCCATATGTTGAAGAGAATACTTATCCCATATGTTGCAAAGAATTATTTTAGATATGTCCTGTAATAGTATTTCTAAAGGCAAGTCCTTCCTTTCTTTCATGGCAGTTATATTCTTCTTTCTTCCCTGGTCATCTTTATTATTGTCGATTTTGCTGTTCCCCAACCACAGCTGTTACCAAACTTCCCACCCAGTTTGTCAGCCCCTTTGCTGCTTTGTCTGAACTTTTAAGGTAGTATTTCCAAACATTTCATTATTTATTTTATTTATTACTTCTGATTAACATCAAGAATGAGATTTGGAGTGTGGATGTTACCTGTTTACCTCGTCTCATACTATCTCAAGGAGAACTTTCATGTTATAAAACACAGAACTTGAGTTATTCTTGAGATTCTGGTCTTGCCCTGTGTTTATGTGGTTCAGCCTCTGCTCTGCCTCGGGGCTCCCTACGTCAGTAGCTCCTGGCAGCGGCTCTGATCAAGTGTTTCTGCCAACAAATCTGCCTTGCTACTAAGTTGACTCAAAATAGTTCCTTCGCACAAATGTTTATGTCTTTATTGTATTGCCTCCATCCTTCCTGCCCCAAGTCTCGCTTCTCGTGTTCATGCCTTTCTTGTTGGTCATTCAGAATCCCTCCGTTGAGGGGTTAATGCAGAGTGATGATGATGTAATGTTGTTGCTCAAAGGAAAGAGTGTGTATTTACCCTTTCACCTGAATCTACTTATTCCCTACTGCTGAATAGGTTATTGAATCTGAGGCGTCAGAAAGATTTTAGAGGGGTTTTTTGTCCAGTTCCAGCACATTTTATGCCTGTCTTGCTGACAAATTGTGATTTCTTTGCTGAAACAACAACAGAATACACTTAACGTAACAGGCTGCAGATGAAAATGTTTAAGCTGTTGCTTCTGTCAGAAGGGATGAGTTGTTCTATTCCTTTGGGGAGCTTCTGGGTTTCTACCTCATGCTAACCTAATTGCACAGATTCAGCTTTGTGAAGTGATGTATCTGAAGTTAGCATGAACAGGATCCTTCATTGCAGTCAAAACTAGCAGGGAGAGATGCTCACAGAGAGGGAGGAGATGAATTCTGGACTGTAATTATAACTGGGTTGTGAAGATGGATACCTGTTGATCTTCGACTGTGCAAAGGGAGAAAGTCGAAACTTTATTTTGTGTGAAGTAAACAAAGCTTTCTGGGTCTCATGAAAAAATTGTGTGTATAGAAATTTCAAGTAGAAGCAGTTGATTGTATCTGTCATCATCAAAACTCTTTAATAGAAGGTGCTGGTGGTTTTTTACCTGAGACAAGGTAGTGCTGTAGACAAATTACATCCAGAGAAGCCTCAGTCACTAACAAATTAGTTTAGCTGTATCTTTGTATTATTTACTAATAATACTAATAAAATTACTAAATTATTATTATTATTATTAGAGATGAAATGCTATCTCAACATTAAAAAGCAAATGTGGTATTTTTTACTAAGTAAAGTTTTGGGGGGTTTTTTTCTAACTTGATGGTGATTTTTTTTTTAATTTAGTAATAGTGAATAATATGATGCAGGTTTCTTTTTTTCTCTTTTTTTTTTTTAGGTGATTACAAGTGAGGAAGCAGAGAGACGAGGCCAGCTCTATGACAACCAGGGAAATACATACTTGTTTGATTTGGACTATGACTCAGATGAATTTACAGTAGATGCAGCTCGATATGGAAATGTGTCCCACTTTGTGAATCACAGCGTAAGACCGTGTTTTGTATACTAAGAATTTAGAGAATTATCTTAATTGTGACAGAAGTTATCTTCTCCTATTGTAAATATTTTGCCATATTCACAGGTTTTTTTGGAGTATGTTTCATGCCAGCACAGTCCGGTCAGTTAGATGGCATAAGTAGAGCAGAATCCTTAGCCCTACTCGGAGCAGGACTGTCTACAAAAATGTGGGAATGAGATGCTGCCTGAAGTGGGCAGCTGGTAGGACTGGGGTTGTCACTGAATCTGCTGGTTCTAGACAACCAAAATGTAGGGCTGGTTTGGGTGTGTTTTTTTACCATGTACCTAAAAGACCTAACATTTGAGAAGTATTTAGTAAAATTAGTGAGGAGTTGAAGACAATAGGAGCTGATGCATTATTTTGTAGCAGGGCAGGGTGGGGGTTATGCCAAATTTCATTCCTCAAACATTGGTAGAGGAAAAAATGAAAATTCCTAGGCTTTCTTTGGTATTTCTCCCCTGTAGATACCTTTTTCCCTCCTCGTATCAAATCTCAACTTGCCAGAGAACTCAAAAGTAAATTTTAAACGAGAAGGTTTTGTAGTTTTTTTCTTCCCTGTTCAACTGAAGTACCTAAAGCAAGAGGGCTGAACTGCATCTGTAAAGAAATTATGTATCATTCCTGAACTAAAAATTATTATTTCTTACTGATGTAATGTCTGTGAGGGATGCAGTCAGTGTTCTACAAATATAGTAAACTCGTGTCTTCAGATTAATGAGCTGATGATGTTTGTGTTTCCTGCTGGCTTGCTAGGGAGAGGGATGAAGAAGAGTTTTAGATAGAACCAATTGCTCTTTGCTTTCAGGAATGGGAGTGAGGTTTCTCACTCTTAAGTGTACAGTTAAATGTCTGACTTCACTTCCTACTCTTTCAAGTGGGTTATATTTTACCGTTAGAGAGGAAAAAACACGCACAGTTTAACAAACTGCCTCAGTGACTGCTGACTTCTGACACTTAATCCAGAAAAAACGATTAAGTGGTTTCTTAGTTCCTGCTTAGAGTCCTTGACCCTCCCCCTGCCACCAAGCCCACAGCAGATAATTCAGGAGTCAAGCAGGTTAGCAACTGAAAATGGAAATTTATTCATAACACAAAAATACTATTTGTGGCCTGGAAGCAATGCTTAAACCTAATTACAGACTAGTGAGTGTGTAGGGCTTGAAATGCTAGGATTGTTCTTTAAATTTATGAGGTTTTTGTGCATTTTGTAGGTAAATACTAACCTCAGAATGTAACTTTAATTGCTCTGTTTGCCATCTTTTTTATTGTCACCTTTTGAAGGTACCATTATTATTTTTAATAGGCTGTTGCATATCAGTGTAGTCTACATACTATATACGGGTTGCCTTCTTGAAAGGAATCTAAGCTATGAGTTTTCTCCTTTAACACTACTTCAAGACTGTAATTTGTTGATTTCAGAAGATAACTTGATTTCAGACTTCTGTCACTGAGAGGAGGACCAATTCTTCCTTTCCTGTGACCCTGCTTTACTTAAACACTTCAGTGAAACTCACTGTGCATTTTTCTTGACAGAAACTGCGTTAATTTTTGCCTTGCAGTGTGATCCAAATCTTCAAGTCTTCAATGTGTTTATTGATAACCTCGACTTGCGTCTTCCTCGAATAGCGCTGTTTTCTACGCGAACCATCAAGGCTGGAGAAGAGCTAACCTTTGACTATCAGATGAAAGGTCTGCAGATTTCAACTCTGTTCTTCTGGGAGGTTTGGGACGCTGGTGGGGTTTGTTGCAGCCCGAGTGACAAAGCATTTTGGGTCAGGCACTGCACCTCCCTAACAGACATCACTTATTGAGTGTAGTGCAGACAGAGCACAGGTAGAAGCTTTTGTGCTCACCCCTGGTGTGTTACCTCCTCCAGTGCTTCACAGATCACAGAATGCTATGGGGTTGGAAGGGACCTCTGGAGATCGTCTAGTCCACCCCCCCTGCCACAGCAGGTCCACCCAGAGCAGGTTGCACAAGAACGTGTTCAGGTGGGTTTTGAATGTCTCCAGAGAAGGAGACTCCACCACCTCCCTGGGCAGCCTGTTCCAGGGCTCTGCCACCCTCAAAGTAAAGAAGTTCCTCCTCATGTTTAGGTGGAACCTCTTATGTTCCTGTTTGTGCCCATTTCCTCTTGTCCTGTCACAGGGCACCACTGAAAAGACTGGCCCCATCCTCTTGACACCCATCCTTTAAATATTTATAAGCATTGATCAGATCCCCCCTCAGTCTCCTCTTCTCCAGACTAAAAAGACCCAAGTCCCTCAGCCTCTCCTCATAAGAGAGATGCTCCAGGCCCCTCATCATCTTTGTAGCCCTCTGCTGGACCCTCTCCAGCAGTTCCCTGTCCTTGAACTGGGGAGCCCAGAACTGGACACATGCGATTGGACAGGGTGAGAGATAATCTCATCTAGGCTCCCTTTCCCACAAAAGGTTGTCCCAGATCATCCTTTGAGGTCCCTTCCAACTTGGGCTGTTTGATGATTCTTTGATCATTGACCTTCCATTCAGTGTTCACAGTCAAGTTGGACAGGACTTTGAGCAACCTGATCTAGTGCAACATGTCCCTGCCCACTGCAGGGAGTTGACAAAATGGTCTTTAAAGGCCCCTTCCAACCCAAACCATGACTTGATTATTTTTTCCAATACAACAAAAAATTCTCGAGGTTTGCTGGCAGGGCTGTTGTGTCTCAATCTCTGTGTGCAGACCGTTTATCCACAGCAGCAACGTCTTGTTGGCCCTGATATTTGGATTTCAAAGAAGCCTCTTCATACTCCAGAGATTTACCTCGTTCGTGTAGAATCATAGAATCGTCTAGGTTGGAAGGGACCTTAAAGATCACCCAGTCCAACCATCAACCTAACTCTGACAAAAAAATAAATAAGAATTAAGCAATAAAAAATCACTAAACCATGTTCCTGAGGACTGTGTCAACCCGTCTTTTGAACGCCTCCAGGGATGGTGCCTCAACCACTTCCCTGGGCAGCCTATTCCAATCCTGGTTAACCCTTTCAGTGAAGAAATTTTTCCTGATATCCAATCTAAACCTCCCTTGGCGCTACTTGAGGCCATTTCCCCTCATCCTGTCTCCTGTGACTTGGGAGACAAGACCGACCCCCACCTCTCTACAGCCCCCCTTCAGGTAGTTATAGAGCGGGATAAGGTCTCCCCTCAGCCTCCTCTTCTCCAGACTGAACACCCCCAGTTCCCTCAGCCTCTCCTCGTAAGACTTGTGCTCCAGACCCCTCACCAGCTTCGTTGCCCTTCTCTGGACCCGCTCCAGCACCTCAATGTCTTTTTTGTGTTAAGGGGCCCAAAACTGGACACCGTACTCAAGGTGAGGCTCTCGAGTACTCGAGTGTAGAAGCTCTCTTGAAGTGCTGACAAATTAATCTTATTTAAATCCTTTAAACTCCTCTTTCTTTGTGCTGTGACGCCGGTGTTGAGGGCAGGCCGCGCTCTCAGCTGACCGGTACGGACACAGAGCTGAGGGTACAAGGCTCGAGTTTGTTGAGCTTTGGATTCTGGTATCTATGCTGGGTGGTGTGTAAGTAGTGGTAACGGGTGTGTTAGCAGACCTTGACGACAGCTTCACACACAATTATTTTAAGAAAATGGCTTTTGAAGACGTTTGAATACCTAGCACGGGTTTCGGTCTGTCTTGTAAAATTTCCTTTTTTGTGTTTGTCCATGTCACAGGTTCGATAGATCTGACTTCAGACTCTGCTGATGGTCTTAGCCCATCCAGGAAGAGGATCAGGACTGTCTGTAAATGCGGAGCCGTGTGTTGCAGAGGTTATCTCAACTGAGTTTGGGTATCCAAAGTCGCAAATACTTCGTTCTCTTTTCAATGTGTTTTAAGAAGACTCTTCTTTCACACCTATATTCAAGTATTCTTACGTCCAGTGTAAATAAATACAATGAAAACAAGGCATTACATTTGTAATTGAAATGGCAGCGGCCAAAGAAAGAGATGTAGCGTGACAGCTAATAGCTGGGATTAAAAATTGATTTTTCTAGAACTGTTACTTAGGAAGCAGTAAAAGGTATGATAAGAAAGCTCCTTAAAAATAGACCTTTATTTGAATATTCAGTTGTGAGCTTACAGCCGTAGGCTTTTTAGGAGCTGATTCCAGGGGGATGAAGCGATGTTACGTGTTCTCTATACCTTGAAAAGTCTGGAGGCACTTCAGCTGGAATCCTGCATCATCGCTGACGCTTCTTTTGCGTTTCTGTGGTGTAAATAAAAGCTTCAAGAGATTAGCAATAATATTTCTGGCACGAGGGTGAGGGATTAAGGTCAGCCAGCAGACTGTGCCTGAGTAAAGGTTCACAGGAATGCAAATCCTAAAATGTCCGTCGAACCCCACGCAAGTAAAGCAATCAGCCTCAGCAGATTCTAGATGTAAGGTCAAGTTCTCAAGACGTTTATAGCTGATGTTATTTAGAAGTTTTACAAAGAGATACGTATTTTTGTCAATTGTTCTGATTTTTAGGTAGGGTGCTATAGGAGGTCTGCGGTTCTAAATACCAGATTGTCAGTAGTAACATGCCATTTTCATTGCAGAAATATGGCAGCCATTGCTGAACCCAATGGACTGGCTACAATTTGGAAATAGATAACAAAAGACTAGGGAGAGCAGCCCGTTGTCTAATGAAGCTGATGCATTATGGAGATGTGCTCAGTTATCTGTTAGGTGCAAAAATACCCTAATTTGTATTCACAACTGCTTTTGATTAAGCTTTTAAATACTGTGACTTTTTTTTTTATTTAGTGACAGACTTGTAAGATACTAGGCCTGTTTTTTCTTGTTGGGAAAATGTTAAAGTGAAGTTAAACTAGTGGGGAATTTACCCAGTTGCTTTAAACATGTGTAAGATGTTCTTGAATGTAAAAGCTGAGAAATGTACTGTTCTTCAGCTTTTTTTTCCTGAGTATTTTTTTTTTATTATTATTTTTTCCTGATCATCTTAAACTTGTCTCGAGCTGTTTGTAATGTATGCTGAGTTTTGCTTGGCTTCAAGAAATGCTGAAGAGCAGTTTGAGGGGGTGGGTTTGAGTTATGAGTTTGAGTTATGAGCGGAGTTACAGCCGAGGTCCGTGCTGCGGGGATAATCTAAGTGCTTTATTCTCATGGATTAAAAAAGCTTGTAAAACTTGCATATTGCTTACAAATCATGTAAATGTTGACGGGGTCAGGCAGAATAATGTTGCTCCATAAATGGATGCTCGCTGTGTATCATAGGTCAGCTCGTTACCTTTATAAGGTGCACAGCTGTTGGCTCAGGTGACTGAAGTCGTGTACCCAGCATATAACCGTTTACTTAATTTGTTAGAAAAATGCCTTAACTTCCATGTTAATTACCGGCACTCCGAGAAGAGTGCTTCAGAGGATAATACAGGTTGGTTATTCCTTAAGAAGCACAGTTGCATTTGCACTGAAGATCCAGCTCTTTGGCAGAAAGGGACATTTTATATGCTACTCGCCAAAACTGGTTTCACGGTTGGGGTGACGAGCGTGGGCCACTGAAACTGCTGTCCAAGTTTTGTAATTTACAATGCAGAGAGATACACACTGAAACAGGTACTTTATATCGCTTAATGAATAGGAGGAAGTTTGCTTAGATTTAAAAGTATTTGACATTACCAGGCTCACCTGTATCCACACGCTCGGATAAATGCTGAATCTAGTCGATTTTTATCACGCCGCGTCTCTTAATGATTTATTTTTTTAAATATATGAAGTTGAAGTGGAAGGGGCAGCTTTAACGCTAGCAAACTCGAGGTGATCTGACGTCATTTGGAGTCATTAGTGCTTTCTCTTGCGTGTAGCCTGACTCGGCGATGTGTTTCCGCGTGGATGGAGGCCGTGGCCTCCAGCTCCTCAATCCGCCGCAGCCTTCCCCGTGGGTACGGGGTGGTGACAGTGGCTGCCCCTAAGAAACAAATTCCTGACCAAATTGGGTTTTCTGGCCTCTCCGGTACAAGATGACACAGGGCTGGTTCGACACTCTTTTTGCCCGGTGCCCAGTTTTTTGATTTAAAAATTGCAAGTGAATGCATTTTAAAAGATAAAAGTCTTTTTTAAGTTTCACTTGAGTTCAGCGTCTGCCTTTTTCCCAAGGCAGTATATGTTACCACCAGCACTGGAATAACAGTGCTGTTCCTTAAGGATATGTGTGTTACCTCTTGTGCGATAAATAAAGCTCTGTTAATTTATGTTCTGGGAGGTAACAGTATTCTGTATTTATTTGAAGTAAACCCACGTTCCCAGTTTCCAATTTAGGGCCTTGAACAGTATTCTGTATTTACATATCCACAGTCCATTTGGATTGCGTTCAATGAATTAGCTTAATGGACACCGTGTCACTTTTAAAACTCCTTTTGCGGTTTTTATCAGTTTGGGGGGGGAAATTCACAAATTGGAAAAGGAGAAAAAGCTATTTTCAATTTCTTAAGGACCCTACTCCAGCCTCGCTTCTGCCTGTTTTGCTTTGTGGTCTGTTAGCATCGCCGTGGCCACCGGGTCAGTTGGTCTATATGCACTTCTTAGAGACTGGTAACCTGTGATCTGTCCTCTAGCTGTTCTTTTTTGTTGGGTTTAATTTTATTTTTTTTTGGTAGCAAAACTAAAGCTGCAGGATCACCTGTAAGAAAAGCTATTATCTACTTAATGAATTTCAAAGTTAAGTCATCTTTTGGTTATTTCTGCTGCATGTTTTAGGACTGTGTACATTAGAATATGCAGTTTGTTAAGCTCAGGAACACTTTCTTTTCATAATGTGTGATCTCTAGTATTGCTACCTTCCTATAGTTTTTTGATAAAATAAATTAAATTTAGTTTTTCTCTTGTTGTTGTCATTCTTAAAAAAAAAAATACAAATCTTAGCCTGTGAAAATTAGCTGTAGCCGTAGAATTTAAGACTGCAACCTCTTACTTAATTCTTGTTCTGTACCCAGATTTTCTAGCACTGTATATACTGTGGTAGAGCGATCCTGAGGAAGTCATGTGTTTCCTATTCAGTTTACAGCTGAGAAGAAACGGTGTAAATTTATGCTACTGACTTGTCTAAAGCAGAGTGGGTTCCTGTATATTTAAGCACACTGTAAACTCAGCCCAGAACTTGAGTGTATTTTACAGTTAAGGAAACAAGCCACCAGAAGAGAAGGGATTTTGCTCTGTATGACTTTATTCACAGAGGTAGTTACAACGGCAGCTGTGCTTGCTCAAGCTTGTTAAAAAAAATAGGTTGATAGACCACATTTGGCAAGTCCATTAACAAATCCCAGGAATGGAACAGGCAAGGTAACAGTGGAGAAATAAATGGACTTGATTATCCATAAAACCATACATTGATGATAGCAATGTTTATTTTTTTTCCTTTTTTCCTTCCCTTTCTGTCACTGTTCCCAATAGCCAGATGCTGGTGTATCAGTCATGGATGGCTAAAGATGCCAGAGAGACTGCAGACGTACAGAGAGGGGAGAGCTGTCATACTAAAAGTCTGTTTAATTCTTGAGGACTTATGACCACGTGGGTGGGAAACCATGTGGATTCTCAGATGATGACTGCTGTTCAGGCAGTAGGGAGTGCTGTTTAGGCATTTTTGTAGGGACTGCAAATTTCCCAAAAACCTGAATAATATTTCCATTTTAGAAGCTGAGAAATTTGGCGTGGAGAATCGATTGTGTTGATTTAAAAAACAAATCTAAACATGTCTGAACTCACCATCAACAGAATGTTGCAGAGGTGGTGAAATGTGCTAATACAAGAGTCTTGAGTAACACAACCACCTGTCCAGGAGAACAGGTCAGCTTCTGTTGCTGTGACTTAGCCTCCGGAGCAGGCTACATGCCACAGGGTTTTATTTTTAAGTAGTTCTGAAAAAAAAATTCAGAACGAAACAAAACGCAGAGGAACTGATGTCAAGTTGTTTGCAGTGAGTTAGATTTAAACCATAGATGATGGCACAGAGATATCACCACATCCAGGAGATCAAATTGGATGACAACATTTGCTCAGTGCAAAGAGAGACTGCTTGAAAAGAACAATTTGATTTTTTTAAAAAATATATAATTATTGCCAGTAATTCTCTAGCCTGGGCAAATGTTTTTTAAAAACACTACAGTGAAAACTCAGGATTAAAGTAGAAGTGAAACTATTGCGTTGTTTGCATGGTTGTTCCTAGAAGACGTCTTGTTCCTCTCCACAGTGAAAAATGTGGTATTTTATTAAAACCTGAGATCACATCTATATCAAAGGCAAACTCTTAGAGCTCATAATAAAGAGAAACACTAAATTTCATTTAGTGTTCTGCCCTTAGTTTTGTCTGGTCCATTTTTTGTCTCCTTACAGGCCTGGAGAACTGAAGGCTTTTACAGTCCCTCCAAGAAATACTTCCTTTTCAGTATTTCATGGAGTGAACAATAAAGTCCCAGAGGCTGCAAATGTCTGTTCATGACAGTAAGATATTCCTGAAAAAAGCATCGATTAGCATAGATGTAGATAGTAATTAGCAGTAAAGTAATTTGGAGTTTAATAAGGAAATTTGGGTACTTGTTATACCTGTCTTCAGGTGACTTTTCTCTCACTGAGTATGTTCTCACCTGCTGCCAGCTTCTTATACAGACAGTGCAGTTTGTCTGGCTGAGGCACCTCGGCGTCGGGAGTGGAGGGAATTTCAAAGTCAGAGGAGCTCTGGGAATCCCTCCTCAGTTCTAGATCAGGAGTCCTGGAGCTGTCGCCTGTTTCCACCAGCACATCCTGCTCGTGGGCAGCACCAGCTTCTGCAGCTTTCTCCACATCTTTGCTTTCCAAGTCACAGCCAACATGGTGGGCACCAGACCTGTTCTGACCCAGTGGCTTCCACCTACCACCCTCGGGTTGACCATCTTTGCCCATCTCCTGGAGCACAGAAACGACCGCTCTGCTCCCACCTTTGCCACAGCAGCTGAAGTCCAAGGCGTTTCTCTCCTGGGAGGTGATGAGTACTGTGTCCATCTGGCTGTCCCAGCCCTGGCTCCCCTGCTCCGATATGTGCGTCGACTGAGAAGAATTTTGGGAGCAGATGTGTGTGGAGTCGCTTACTCCATCCGAATCGCTGAAGAGTGACTGGGAGCCCCCGGCGTCCACTGAAGATGGGAAGTTGTCCTCGTTTTCGGAGCTTTCTTCTAGCTTGTTGCACTTAAAAAATGCATCCCAGCAAGGGACATCGGCGTTAGACTCCTGTTCATCACTCGTTACTCCGTTGAAATGTGACATGGAAGTGGCATCTGGCTCACAGGAAAGAACTTCAACTATATTTTTTTCAGATTCTTCTTCATCATCATCTTCATCATCATCATCATCATCATTTGATTCCTCACAGTCCAGGAAGTCAGCCTTGAGGGAGGTGTAAGTTGTGGTTGCTTTGTCACTTTCTGTGCCCTCGTTAACGTTCCCTTGGGCGTTTTCAGACTGTCCTGTGCTGCAGGGCCTGCTCTCTTCTCTCTGCTGCTTTGGAATCTTAGGCCTTGCAGGAGTTAGTTCTGTATCAAAGAGATCATCTTCATCTGCCAAGAAAAGAACAGGGAAAAAAAAAAAAAAAAGATAAAATATCACATCTCTGGTAAAATTCTATTGAAAACAAAATTTTAATAAAAATTCATGTAGTATGAAGAGAGGAAAGAGCTCTTTAACCAGGATGGAGACTTAGCAGGGCATTACTGATGGCCTTTGCCTTGCCTTGTCTAGCACAGCTCCTTACAAGGAAAGCTGCTGGTTGCCATCCTCTGTATAAGCTGCAGCAGATGAGATGTAGCTTTTATTCAGAGCCCTGAGGTGTTTTGCCAGGATTACATCACCTGTAATCCTTTGGCACCTCAGAAACAGCCAAAGAGAATACAGCAGGCCCAAAGTTCTCTTCTAGATCCCAGGTGGCATCCCAGAGGCTCTGTACAGCATCTTACACATGAGTATAAGAAGTTCCACCTAAATGTGAGGAGGAACTTCTTTACTGTGAGGGTGGCAGAGCCCTGGAACAGGCTGCCCAGAGAGGTGGTGGGGTCTCCTTCTCTGGAGACATTCAAAAACCTCCTGGAAAAGTTCCTGTGCAACCTGCTCTGGGTGGACCCACTTTGGCGGAGGGGCGGTTGGACTAGATGATCTTCAGAGGTCCCTTCCAACCCCATAGCATTCTATGATCTGCTTACCATCATAAATTTAAAAAACTGCTAGCTGTTAAAACGCCAGCAGCGCGAGATAACGAAGAGAAGCAATTATGCTGATACAGCACTGTCCCCCACAACACTGGAGGTGATACAAGTCCCCATTAGAAACAGCTCTGGGTGGGGTGGTCTAGGACTGTGGAATGGAACTCTTTCAGAAACTTAAAGCACTGTTAAGCATTAAGAACATTTTAAGATTGCAAGTAAGCGCGATTTTACATAGTTAGCACACTCTCACTCTCCTAAAACCTAAGTTAATTTAATTTATATTTCTCCTTTCTAAAGTCACTTTGAATACAGACAGACTCTGGTGAGCACCACGGCCTTTGGCACCTCTGCTTAGTCTCAGACTTTCACTTAAGGCACAGCAGCACCAGCAGAACCTTTACCTGTGTCAGAGGAGTCTCTCTTGTGGGCTCTCTTCAGTGTTCCTAAGGGCTTGTACCTGGGTTCCAGGTTTCTCCTGTAGGACCTGCATAACGGCTTTAATCTGAGGTGAATGAGGAAAGTGATTAATATTTAGAACTCAGCAGACGGTTTCAGGAGCAAAAGTAAATCTTTTAACTTGATTTAAGTGTGATTCATGCTTCCACCTGCTTCATGCCTTTCACTGGCACTGCAGCAAAAGTGTTAATGGCAGCAATAGCCAGGGAAAAGTTCTTAATTCATTGGCGAGTGCCGGCAGCTTCAAGGTAGAAAAGTGTAATTCTTTATATTTATTTCAAAACACATACACCTTTCAAAACTTTTAGTCCCTTGCTCAGATCTGACTGCAGTTTTATTCCATGATTGTATCTCCTTTCTTATTAAGGAGGAAAAGAAAAAGGAACAAAGAAATGAGTCCCCATTTTGTCCAGACTCTCTGGTCCACAAGAGCGCTCTCTAAGCTGCTGACATCTGAACAGCACAAGAGTACAGGCCTCTGTGGTGCTCAACAGAAGCCAGGAGCTTCAGGTCCACGGAGAAACACTCTTTACAAGAAACTTCTGAGAAGTAGCAATAACAAATAGAAATAGGTCACAGAATAAAGTGAGGTGAACGTGTGTTCAGGTTCCACCCAGAGTTTAGCAGCAGCAAAGCCTCTATACATAGATGTAAGTAGTGTGTGGAATACAAACTCTCAGATTTAGCACCACATGCAAGTGTTCTTCAGAAAGCTCAAGAGCTTAAGTTTGCTGGGCTGAATACAGAAAAAAAATAACTGAGTTATCAGACAAGTAAGGCAAAAGGCAGTGGTCTTCTTGAGAGGCTGGGATTCAGGAGGGGAGCTGTCCTGACAAGAGCAGAGATTAGATCAGCTCCACTCAGCAGCCACTTGTCACTTACATTTCCATAACCTTGTCTTCTGTCCCACCCACTGGCAGTACATTGGGGTACACATTCACAGGACGGATATAGCTCAGGAAATCCTTAATCTAAATTGAAAAGGAGCAGTTTACCAAGTTACATCAACAATTAATAATTTCACTTAATGGCAGAACTGATCAAAGCACAACAAATACTACCGGTTGTCTCACGTGAAGACCAGTATGACCCATGAGCCAGAACTCTACTGAAGCAGGCAGCTCCCTAGCAAGAAAAGGATGCTGAGAGCGCAGCCTCCCCAAACCACCTCATGGCAATTATCAGCTACTACACAGACATCACTATCTCCAAAAGGGAAGAGAGCGCAGCCTCCCCAAACCACCTCATGGCCATTATCAGCTACTACAGACATCACTATCTCCAAAAGGGAAAGCTAGACACCCATTCTTAGGGAATGGGATCCAGTGCTTCCCTATCCTTACTCCTGTACGACTTTCCAGACCTGCATTTTTCTTACTGGACTTCAGGTCCCTAGTGGTGCAGATCAGGCCTTCCCTTCCTCTAAGACTGTTCCTAAAGTCTCCCTTCAGTCCACTATAAAAGCTCATTATGACAAAACACATCACTTTTTCCAAGCCCTTCCTCTGTTGTCTTCTAGATGCTCTCCAGACAGTACATTTCTTGAAGAACTGTGTTGGGTTTGGGGGACTCCACTCCAGCTGAGGCTTCATCAGCACTGAAAGCACTTGCAAGTTTGCAGATGACACTCTATATATATATAGAAACCAGTAGGACACATCTATTTTTGCAGGTGGAGGCATGAGTCTGTTACAACAGACTGCGCCCCATGTTCTGCCAGCCAGGCTGCCACACTCTATTTATGACACCAGTAATTCCATTTAAAATTCTGCAGAGCAAATTAAACTTAACCAGGATCTTAAAAACAAGACTAGGGCTCTGAATAATCTCCATCAAAGTGTGTGATTCTGGAGGGGACGCTGCCCTGACCAATTTCCTTTTAGTCTTTAACAGGGAAAGAGGAGTAACAGCGGCAGCTACAATGTGAGAAAATTCTGTTTAAATGTGTGAACAGGGAAAAGATGGCAAACCCACCCAAAGCTGAGTCACAGCAAATAAACAATGTATTGAAAACCAAAATTCCAAGCTTTAAGCACTGCATAGTTATAGAGTAATCTAAACCAGAAAGGCAGTCAGAACAATTGTAGCAGTGACTTATACTTCCAGAAGAGAGAAGGAAGAAACAGGCTTGTGATCCTGCCCTACCTCAACAGGCTTTTCTGCAGCTCTACTAAAACAAACTTCTGTCTTCAGTTTCCAGAACTTCCTACCCCTTCACGTCTTATTAGTGAAAAGATTTTTTTTTATTGTTGCAAGTCATGTCATTCACTCCAAAATAAAAGAAAAAAAGAAAAAAGTTTTTTAAATCACTGTATACTCAGTACTGGAAATATACAAACCTCGCTGTATGAAGAGTGGAAGGAGAAACAAGCTCTGTATGTACTCTCCCCAGTCCTAAAAAAAAAAAAAAAAGGGAGGCACAAAAATTAGGTAACTGTTCTTCATCCTCAGTAACAGGCAAGCATAACCTACTTTTAAAAAGTCCATTTTGTGATTCAGTTCTACCAGCGTCAGGCAAGACACGCGCCTGAAACACCAGGTTTCTGCGTGGCCCAAATGCTCACCTCACTATTACATTGGTCTTCTTGATCCTTTCTCCAAACCACATAGTGGAGGGTTTGATGCTGATGATGTGCAAGGGAGTTCCGTTTTGGTAAGTCATCCCACAGGGCAGCCTGTTCCCCCGAAAGCAGTCGTCATCCTGTCAAATACAATATAAAATTAAGTGCAATCCTGACCTTTTCTTCCCCCCAGAAATTGAGCAACACAGTATCTAGCCAGACCGAGTTTTCATATCGCTTCCAGCTCCCTTGAAACTCTCTTTGCTGTTTCATCTTGCTTCCATAGTGCAGCTGACAAAGTAAATCAATCAGAGACCAGTGCCCCAACATGCCATCTCCAGTTCCACCTGCACTCCTCCAAGCTGGAGCCTTTGGCTCCATAGACATCCCAGGAAGGGAAGGCCACATGCTATAAACACACAGTGCAGGGCTGCAGGAGACACCACACGAGCTGCTTTTGATATACTGAAATGGGTAATACTTGACTGATCTAAGCCACAGTTTGTCTTACTTCATTTAACAATATGTTTTTCAAGTTTCAAGTACAATTAACTATTTCTAGCATCAGCTAATATTTTTTTTTCCTCTTTTTTTAAAAAAAAACCCATCAATTGACTAACTGAAGTTCTCCCTCTCCTTTGCATTAAGCCACTATTTGGCCCAAGTCTTCGTTAGCACAAAAGAACCAGGCTTAGACAGTTGGGGTTGTTCAGGCTGGAGAAGAGAAGGCTCCAGGGAGACCTTAGAGCCCCTTCCAGTAGCTAAAGGGGCTACAGGACAGATGGTGAGGGACTCTTTATCAGGGAGTGCAGTGACAGGACGAGGGGTAAAGGTTTTAAACTGAAAGAGGGCAGATTTTGATCAGATATTAGGAAGAAATTCTTTCCTGTGACGGTGGTGGAGCACTGGCTCAGGTTGCCCAGAGAAGCTGTGGCTGCCCCATCCCTGGAGGGGTTCAAGGCCAGGCTGGATGGGGCTTTGAGCAACCTGGTCTGGTGGGAGGTGTCCCTGCCCAGGGCAGGGGGGTTGGAACTAGATGATCTTTAAGGTCCCTTCCAACCCCGACCATTCTATGATTCTGTGACCAAAGCACTGTCACCTATAACCAGCCTTTCACAGCACAAGCTGCAGAAGTTTTGCTCGTACACACCCGAGGATGTCGACAGGCGTGGATCTGCGTGTGTCGATCTGTAGTAACATGGTAGAGGATTTCTGGCATGTTTCTGAACATATCAAGTTTGTTGACGTGTACCTAAAGAAAGGCAGAGATTACTCTTAATTAGCTCAAGGTGTTTGCCAGACTGCAGCTGGAGCAACTATACAGATGTGGTTCTGCTCACAACGAATGCTGGTAGGCATTTAAACAATTACTACCCACTAGTAACGCCCAAGTGTTAGCCAAAAGTAAGTTGGACATCTAGAACAAGCAGAACATACCTCCTGGGCTGAAGGGGGGTGTATATTCATCAAAGGAAGTTATCTACTAACTATTAATGCCATAAGTAAATGAGAAGGCTTTTATCATTCTCAGGGTAAAAGGGAGAGAGGTTGAAAACTGGGGATCAACGTCTCCCTGGAGGGCCCAAATGTTCCAGACTGAAATCAAGTATTTAACTCATTTTGAGCACAACTGAAGCTTTTTACATGAAGTTAATAAAAATGTGCACAACTTTGACATACAGCAGTCCTCTAACAGCCATTTCCAGCTTGGTGACCAGCCACAGTCACTCCTGGGGATCTGTTCTGAAGCAGCAATTACAGAAACGTTACCTTGATTCCAAGCTCCTCACTGAGGTTTATGAAGAGATATTCATATCCATAAGCAGCTTTGCAGTTCAGCCACACGACGTGGTAGGGAGTCAGTGAGGTCCAGCTGCGCACTAACTCCAAGATCCCATTTAGACATTCCTCCTGAAAAGTTTAGAAAACGTTGCGAATCGTCTGTGGAGATACTTCCAAAGTGCTTTAGGATCTTTCCTCTCACAGCTTATTTAGACTTACCCGGCTTGGTATGTGATAAAACTTGGGATCACAAAAAGTCGTGTCCAAATACACACTCTGGATGTCTTTTACTCTGAAAAAGCAATGTGGTATCAGAGTGAGCAGCGCAGCACAGTACCAAGCCATACCACTTGCTATCTCCTCAAAAGGAGGCAATTATTCCTCTTTATTACAAAAAGCAAGTCAAAAGGGGCTTGTAACTGCAGTTTGCCTTACTGCAAATGTATTTAATCCACAATTAAAAATGTGGGGGAAAAAAATTCCTGAATTGTCCATGCCCTTGTGATCTTTGATTCTTTCTAAATCCCATGAATAGCTGAGGCCTCACCTGGTCCCTGAATGCAAAAGCTCCATTCTGGCTGCTTCTCCTTTCGCAAGCCTGAAATCCCCTGTATACAGCACTGTGCCGTTTCCACCTTCAAACAAAAACCTGCAAACACAAACACTTTGGTCAAACTTAAAAATATAAAGCATTAAATACCAGGTGTTGATTTGTTACCTGGCTTAGCGCAGTCTATGCGATTAATGTATGATGTAATAGAAATACTGGGCTCACTTCGGCCCTAGAGTAATTTCAAATAAACCAAATAATTCAGACTCAGCGTGTCTGGAAAATAACCTGTGCTGGGCTGGTCAGAGTTGAAGATGAAAGCCTGAGAGACTCTGTGGAGGCAGCCCAGCCAGCTCTTGCAGCCAAAGGAATCTAATTAGGCATCTGTACCAGGAAGTTGGGTTAATACTTAAGATTTATTTTCAATCACAGGTTTGTGTGTCATTTTTAAATACAGTTGAAATCAAGAAAGTTGTTATTCATAGGCACAGGCAAAAGTAATCTGTCCCACCAAGGTAACAACTTGTGTATGGACAGATCCCAGAGAGTCCAGTGGTTTTCCAACCTCGACCCAAGCTAGTGGGCCACAACAGCGTTACCTCCAAGTAAGAATTTTAGATTTACCAGCTTTTTCTAGTCAAAAAAAACCCCAGTACTTAATGAAAACTCTACAGGACAAACTTCTCAGCAGAGACATTCAGAGTACCGAAAGGACGTACATGACTGATCCTGGGCAGTGACCAGCTGGTAGAAGTGTCACCTCTACATCTTCTTTCTGGAAGAAACGGTCAGCGTTATTGCCACGCTGCTGTAAGTACTGCAGTAATTTCACTGACACAGTGAAAGCAACGTTTTACTCCCCACAGCCTCTCGCATTGAGCATTGCTTTGGAATGCAGAGAGAGTCCCTTCACGTTCCAACAAGCCCTGAAGGACAATGACCACCCTGCCATGCCAGAAGAGGTGACCAAATATTGAATGGTGCTCATGAAAGCCACTCAGCCAGAAGACAGTCCTATATCCTTGCTTCCCAGTGAAAAAGCATCATGGAAACATCCTGAAATACACTTTGCTCTACCAGACTTTAAGTCCAGCACTTAAAACTTGTTAAAATATGCCAGGGAATACAAGGTGAAAAAAATCACAAGAGCAATAGGTAAGCAGATCACGAATCCTGTGGAAAGACATTATCAAAGAAATGCTATGATAATAACAACAAAGTGGGGAAGAAGAATTCATGTGGCTGCACATCCTGGAGAGAAGGGGAACATACATTTTAAAAACAGCTTTTCCACTTGGGATGTTACAGGTAACACCTGTTTCCCGTGCTCATTTAAAGAGTATTACTCCCCATTACAAAGATATGATTTGGTTTTTTTGGTGACTTACCTCACCAGATGTTTCATCTACTAAAGAAATCTGAGTTGGAGTTTCAACTTCCAATGCAACCTGTAACAAAATGAACAAATGCATTACAGGATGGACTGAACATTTTTCTTTCATGGCTAAGTATTCATTAGGGAGACATCTTTAGCACCCACTGTGGTTAATGCTAAGCCTGTATAATTAAGTTCATTTTCCCATAGCAGGTCATGAATTTCCCTTGCCAGTTGTCTGAAAATGAAATGGAGATACCTCAATCAAGGTGTGCGTGCCTAAAAAAAGTTAGAACATGTTGGACTTCTAACAGCAACAGCTCTGGTGTCTCTGGCTGGATCATACACCCTCAGCACCTTGGGAGTCTCAAGATACCATGTCACAAATTTCTGGGCAGCTCCATGAGATGCATCCAGCTGGTGCTCACACAAAGGTGGTAACATTTGGCTTCTCCACCAGAAATCACAACTTCAGTCAAACTCGGAGCTTGCTCCAAAACACAGATAGGCGTGTCAAAAAGTATTTTATACTAAGAATTCAAGCCAGTAGCAAGAGCTAATTTTTTTTAGACATAAAAACTCATCTTATCATCTACAATTTCTGAAGCTGAATAAACTCAGGAGGCTGATGTAAATTCTGCATGCTTGATATTTCTCAGTAATTCTCAAGTTCCTACTGCAGTGGAACAACTGTCAAGTTTTACATCTAAGCAGCCCGACGAATTCTTCACTGACAGCCAGAGTTTAGCTTCCTAACCATCAATGATAATATCTCCAGCAGAATTCTCCCCTCTTCTTTGATAGTTTAAATGTTAAAGGCAGCAACAGATTCAAAGAGTCTCACGCCATACACACAAATAAAGGTCAGACTGGGAATTATAAAAACATTTGTCTGGAAGCCGACATCACGATTGCTTCTTTTGGTCTGGTGAATATCAAATCAGCTGTTAATTAATGTCCCAGTCACACCACAAGTAGAAAGCTTATTTATTGTAAGACAAAAGCTCATGAACATCTAACAGCTACTGTCTGATTAAGGGCCTGTGCAGCTCACGCCACTACCAGGCACTCACTCCTGAGAGCAACAGCTGCAAATATCTATGTATTTTTTTTAATTGTGTTGATTTGTGTTAATTGTGCTTCATTTTGGGCTGTACCACAGGTACCTCTGGCATCTCTTCCCAGATTAAGATTGTCTCAAACAGGGATGTCTCAAACAGCTCTGCTAACTTTCCTTTTATTGCTCATACAAACTCCTTGTAGCTTACAGATACCTCCCCTCAAGGGACCACTTCTAGGTTAAACTCAAGGGATGCTGGAAGGGATATGGAAGCAAATGGATACAAGCTCAAAAATAAAAATAAAAAAACCAACCACCACCACCAAAAAACCCACCAGAAACCCACTCCTTTTTATTTTTGCTAGTCCAAGATTATAGGCTTAGAAAAATTGTCACCTACATACACTGTGCTCTTTACACATCAAACATGCCTAAGGGATGTTCCGAGTCCTTTTCACAGAGCCCTGAATAATATTCACACTCCAAATTCACACTGCTTCTCAAGGTTTCATATAAAGCTAGTTATCTTCTCCCTCAGCTTCACAATTAAACTAGGACCTTGAGCAGAAGAGGGAAATGAGATAAGGACAAGAGCAAAGAGACAGGAGCAAGGTGAGGGACTGAAGGAGCGATACAAATGATCAACGTACAGATGGAGGCCATTCAGAGCTGAAGCTGAGAGCAAAAGATACATTTTGTGGAGGGAAAAATAAGATTAAACGGCAATAAACCAGTGCCACAGAGCAAGCAGCAAGGAAAGGCATACTGATGGAGGTACTTGAGCCCCGAAACGCTGTATCAACACCAACATTTAGACATTTTTGAGGAGGGGAAGCCGCTTCTTCCCTAGAAATCACCGTTCCGAAAGTGATCACTTCAAAATAAACAAAAACTCACAATGTGCTTCTCCCAAAACTTGTATTTCCAGCTAGTCAGCAGCAGTTCCTTGGTTACCGGTGAGCAGTATAATTTAACTTTCAAGCTGTGAGGAGACGAAAACACAGATGAGTGTTGGTTTTTTTTTTAAAGTAGAGGCAGGGAACAATCTAACGACGCATCAGCACCTGGCACTGGGTACATCAAAACGTGTGCTTAGATCCCCCTCTCATCTGAAGAGAGCTGCAGAGCAAGAAGCCTGCAGGAGTAGTTCTGTCCCACAGAACTGTCCCACAACCTCTCTGGGCCCACTCCCATGTTTGACCATCAACTGTCCCTTGCCCTTCCGTTACGCACGTCCGAGAAGAGCCTGGCTCCATCTTCTCTACCCCTACTTGCAAACAGCAATATGTGGTTGTGACCTATTCTTTAAGGCTGAAGACATCCAGTTCTCAGCCTCTCCTCACACATCACGTGCTCCAGCCTCAGACCAGCCTGATGGTCCTGCTCCAAAACATCGATGTTTTTTGCCCACGGGAGCCAGGACTGAACTTGGTATTCCAGACAAAGTCTCACAAGTGCTGACCAGAGGGGAATTACTGTCTCCCTCAAACTGCTGGCCGCCTGCTTGCTCATACACCTCTGAGCACAGCTGGCTTCCTTCACAGCACAGCCAGAGTGCTGTCTCCACACACACCAACACAATTCCAGGGAATAACAGCAGCAAGGATCCTCATGAAGTTCATAAACCTCATGAATGTCAATAAGGCCAAGTGCACCTGAGTCAGGGCAATGCTCAGTATCAATACAGACTAGGGGATGAGTGGATTGAGAGCAACGAGAAGGACTTGGGAGTACTGGGGGATGAAAAGCTGGACATAGGGTGGCAATGTGCACTTGCAGCCCCGAAGGCCAACCACATCCTGGGCTGCATCCCCAGCAACATGGCCAGCAGGGCAAGGGAGGGGATTCTGCCCCTCTGTTCTACTCCGGTGAGACCCCATCTGCAGTTCTGCATCCAGCTCTGGGGCCACCAATATAAGGACATGAACCTGTTGGAGCAGGTCCAGAGGAGGCAACGAAGATGATCAGAGGCTGGAGCACCTCTACTAGGGTGTCAGAGCCCTGGAACAGGCTGCCCAGGGAGGTCGTGGAGTCCCTTCTCTGGAGATTTTCAAGACCCGCCTGGATGCAGCCCTGAGTGATGTGCTCTGGGCAACCCTGCTTTGGCAGGGGAGTTGGACTAGATGATCTCTAGAGGTCCCTTCCAACTCTGACAATTCTGTGATTCCATGATTCTGTGACAGGCTGAGAGAGTTGGGGTTGTTTAGCCTGGAGAAGAGAAGGCTCTGGGGAGACCTTATAGCCCCTTCCATAGAATCATAGAATCACCTAGGTTGGAAAAGACCCTTGGGATCATCAAGTCCAACCATCAACCCTACTCTACAAAGTTCTCCCCTACACCATATCCCCCAACACCACATCTAAACGACTCTTAAACACATCAAAAGATGGTGACTCAACCACCTCCCCAGGCAGCCTATTCCAATGCCTGACCACTCTTTCTGTGAAAAATTCTTTCCTAATGTTCAATCTAAACCTACCCTGTTGGAGCTTGAAGCCATTCCCTCTTGTTCTGTCACTAATTACCTGCAAGAAGAGATCAGCACCAACCTCTCTACAGTGTTCTTTCAAGTAGTTGTAGAGAGTGATGAGGTCTCCTCATCTCCTCAGCCTCCTCTTCCTCAAACTAAACAGTCCCATCTCCTTCAATCGCTCTTCATTAGATTGATGCTCCAAGCCCTTCACCAGCTTCGTTGCCCTCCTCTGCACTCACTCCAGCACCTCGATATCTCTCTTGTATTGAGGTGCCCAGAACTGGACACAATACTCCAGGTGTGGCCTCACCAGTGCCGAGTACAGGGGGACAATCACCTCCCTACTTCTGCTGGCACCAGTACCTAAAGGGGCTACAGAAAAGATGGGGATAGACTTTTTTACAGGACTTACAGTAACAGGACAAGGGACAACTGTTTGAAAGTGAAGGAGGGTGGGTTTAGATGAGATATTAGGAAGAAAATTA